GATTGACCTGTCAGAATAACACATCAGGTGTGATTCACACTACGGCAGCACTCCCTGGCAATTCAAAGAAACACACAGTTACTGAACAAGCATGCAGTCTCTCCTGGCAAAGCACCAACAGCTACCTGCTTGTCTACAGATCATATTTGTACAATTCACCAGGGGAAATGAACCCCTGAAGAGGTGAATACAAACAGAAATATCATCAATAGATGGCAGACTCCAGAAAAATATTTTGGGGTATTATTCTACTGTGGTAGACTGGCCAGAAATGACTTTTTTTGCATCATAAATAGATAACAACGCTTCTTCTTCTGGACTGCTTAAAAGACCAGTTCATAAATAGTACTAAAAGTGATCAAGAGCTCAAAAACCTCTGGTGCTAGGCCAACCATCCAGCTACATGTAAAGGAAGTGACAACAAAACCATAGGGTCTTAACCCATAACTTTCCTGGGTAGAAGAATTTTTTAATGTTATTCAAGGCAATATTTGACTAAATCACATGTTGTGAAATGGGTTATTTGGGTAGTATGCATAACCACATTACTCATTGACTCAAAAATAAATCTCTTCTCAAACTGGTCATAGAAAATTGTAAGGACCTATGTCTGAGCCATCATCTTCTCAGTCTCTCAGATTTGACTTTTGTTAGTGATCCAATAATGCAACACAGCAGTGTAGTACCTCTGTAGCTCCTCTCCCAGGGCTTCAGACTGATCCTCTTTAAGGATGCTATACATATCATTTTCCTCAAGTCTTCGCTTTTGGCCAAGCTGCAGCAAAGGGGTTAACCAGCTGAAATAGAAAGACAGAAAGTATTCATGGCGCTTCACCTGTCCCTCATTTTCCATATTTCGGCCTTATTCCAAAAGAAGGATTCGATTCATTTTCCACCTCAGAATTCTACACACGATACCCCACGATAAAAAAGCAAAAAAAGTTTGCTCGGCTTTTTGTACTTATGATATTTTACTGATGTCTGGGTTTTAAAAAATTAGCTTTACAGATCAACTTGGCTTAAATCACACACATTAGCATGCCCGTCAAAGTCCGCCTTCCCTGGACACACACACTCACACACACACCATCCCATATCCACCACGTTTTTCAAAAAAATACTAACAATAAAAAAACACCCAACTTTAACTTTAAGAGAATAAAAAACAGTATAATGGGACAGTTCATCTTAATTTAACTCTGCGTTTTTCTGGCAGTAAAAGCACCTGTTAATAAGCACCTGTTTGCATAGCCTGGTGTCTCAGTGTATGACATTCAGTGTATGTCAGGTTAGCAGAGGGGAAAAGCAGACGTATCAGAAACAACATAGCAAAGTTTTCTGCTTCTCCCAGTTTAATAATTCTCTGGTCATGTGTAGTGAAGCCTCCCTTGGTATCTAGAAAGAAGTGCACTTTGAACATTCTGAAGGTGAGTTATTACTCAGTTACTCAATGCTTTCAATATAGACATCAAAAGACCAACCACATATCTATGTAGTATTTGTTTGTGTGGTACTCATACTATGTATTAAGCCAGTTTAAACCATGAGGGCTACATTAAAGCCTACAATTGCTTTTCCCATTCATGAGTTATGGTTGAAAAACTCAAACAAGTCCAGAGCTACCTGACTCAACTCTGCTGTTCAAAATCTATTCCACAAATAAATGCACAGAAATAATACACACAGCGAAAAGCTGCACATGCTTTCTGTGGATTTAGTATTTTTTATGACCTAATAAAATAACCCAGGAGTTTTTTGTTTTGTTTTGTTTTTTCAGTGTATGGAAGTGATTCTACCCACTTTGAATTAAAGTAATCAGTCTCAGTTTCCACTATTATGGTCTGAAGCATGTAAACACCGGCTTTTGAATAAATTCTGAAGTATTTCTTGCTTGCCTCATGTGGTCCGTGGGGCACAGCATTGCTGGGATGGGCTAATCCTTTTGATTTTTCAATGCGTGATCAAGTTATGAGAAACTATTTTTTTCAATTAAAAATGCATCCTGGCACAGATTAAATCCCCTTGTAAACGGGTTCATAGTTCTAGTTAACTCAGAAAAACCACAATTAAAACGATATACAAACATGTATGCATGAAATCAGCAGTTTGTTGTTCTTAACTGATTACCTCACCGCTCGGTCAGAGTTAGATCACGCCGTGAAATCACACTTACCACAAAAAAACTCTTGAAAAAAAGCTGGCAGTTGCCAGCGGGTTGTGCCTGCCGCCCGTGCTTGTCACCTCCATGGTCATACTGGGGATAGCTCAGCCGGGCGCATCTCTGCACGCTGTACGCTCCACTTCATTCGGTCCGTGTAGTAAGTGGAAGTTATGTAAAGCTCAACCAATAACTGTTCAGGCTGGAATTTAGCCGTTTAAGTTATTTAAGATCGCTTCACGTAACTCCACCTACACGACCATCAGTGCAAATTGAAAAGGAAAGTGAAACTTTATTATTATTATTATTAATATTATTATTACTACAGGACTAGAGGATGTCGTGTTTGGAACTTGAAAAGTAAGGGAGTCATGTGATCTTTTCAGTCTAGCTCTACCTGTGCAGCATTATTAAAATATGTCTGCTTTCCTAACACCTCAGGGTTTACACAGCCTCTCGACTTCTGACCACTGGTACAGGATCCAGCACAACCGAGACCCGGAAGAAAACAGACGGACGCATGGATGTTTTGCTTTCACACACAGAAACTTCCGAACGAAGTCCGCGAACCGTGCGTCACTACAAAACAAGTGAGAACGTCCACTCCGCTTATTGGCCGGTTGGGTGTCAGGGGCGGGAGCGCTGTGCTCTGGACTGCGTGTAGAATTTCTGCTCAATTTACGGCTAGTTAAATTCTGCATCCCAGAGTGCAAAGTATACGTGACTACGGGAAGACGTTAAGGTCAAACTTGAAGTAAGCCGAGTCAGAGCGGGATTACGTTGTCAACATGAACGAATCAGAGCTGTCAAAGTAAGGTCCGGGATCCAAAATCGGCCGACAACGACTCCAATCCGGACTGCTGAACTGCTTTGGACAATGTAAAGGAGGACATAAATGATGGACTTTTAACTGTATATTAATACGTTTTGCATCTTTTTCTACTAACAAGGATCTCTCCCCTGGCCATTCATCCTGCACCAAAGTATTTTAGTGATAGATAAACAACTGAAGGACAGAAAAGTTCCTGTTTTTCCAATACTCTGAATTTATTTTACACCACCCAAAACAAACAAACAAACAAACAAACAAACAAACAAACAAACAAACAAACAAACAAACAAACAAACAAACAAAACAAAACAAAACAAAACAAAAAAACCAAAAAAAAAAATATTGTGGGTCCATACACTGTAAAAACTGTGATTGGGGTTAATTAGAATCTAATAGGAGAGTAATAGTAATTATTACTCAGTAAAAACGTGTATGAGTAGTTTTAATCAAATCTAAGCAAAATTCAACAATTTTGAGATGTTCAGTTATTTAAATTTACACAGTTTTGTTTGGGGTAAATTCAGCAATGGTTTGTTGAGTAGATTTTAAAAAAAATGTTTGAGTACTAAAAAAATTTAAGAAATCTAATAGATTTAACTGATGAAAGCATTTTCATTTTAATCATTGAACACTTCCGCCCATAATCCTTTGTGCCACGTGCAGGACACACGTGCTTCATGAGTGGACATCTCCATTTTGTCAGAGGTAAGACTTCTTAATTTGTTCAAATATAAGACACGGTTTAAACAATAACGTATATCGGTTTTGAGTAAAGGTTTTAAACAGTATGATACGTCGAAATTTTATTAATAATCATCACTGTAATGATAGTATCGTATTTTTACACAAATGGTAGTTAGTGGACTGCTAGCACAAGGTCACTTTCCAAGCCTTCACGACTGTGTTACTGAACAGCTTTAACTAACCACATGTTTTACCGTATTAAAAAATATCAACGATATATTCCGATGAGTTTTAACGTCTTTCATCCACGTTTAAAAGTTCATGAAAATGTTTTGCGCTCAGTTGTGAGTGATTTTGTCAGCCACAGTCAGTTTTTCGAACTCCAGTTTCCAATAATAATGGCGGCCGCTACTAAGTTTTAAAATTACTCTTAGTAATCTTTCTGGGTCACAAAATAAACTTTTAACATATTTTCAGGCGCGAAAGTAGCTGTGTAAACATCAAATATCTGCTCGGTTTATCAAGATATCGCATGTTTGCAAAAGTGCTTCGACGTTTTCGGAGCATCTGCTACCCACCAGCTCGATAGCAAGCCGGGAGCTCGAGGGTCACTGAAGCCGCTGAGAACGGCACAATTCCCGGCACATCATTTTCAGATCACCGCGGGGTTTCGCTACTCAGTTTAAACGTAATGTATAAGTCACTTAGACAACCTAAAAATGTTATTGTTTGGTTTTTTCGGTGTTTTATTTGTTCGTGAGTAAATCGGTTTGGCTGAGATTAAAGTTATTAGATTAGATTAGATAAAACAAAACTTTATTAATCCTCCGGGATTTTCACACAGCTGAATAAACGTCAAACAGAAAACTGATTAAACAAAAGTGTGAGACGGTCGAGAATTTACTCCAGCGTCCTGTTATATTTTAGATAGCAAGGAGCAGACGGCTGAGTTTATTAAACTCCACCGAGACAGCGGTGACGCTAATCAGAAGGCTAGACCGTCCAATTTCCCCAGCCGTTTACTTCCAGCCTACCCGACCTTCTGGGGACCCGGCCCACGTAGACCGCGAAGGCCGGGTCCTCAGGAGGATGCAGCCCATGAGTTTGGACAAACTTTTAAGATATTTTCATGCGAGGTGCTGTGTAAACTTCAAATACCTGCTCGGTTTATCAAGACATCGCATATTTGCAAAAGTGCTCTAAAGGTTTGTGTTCATTTAGAGGCGTTAAGTCAGTGTCAGTGAGTTTATATTTACTGTTAAGAGTAAATATCTCACCAGAAAATTTGTAGAATCATTATTAGAAAATAACAGTAAACGTCCTTATATGTTTTGAAATGTGTTAATCTATTGGAATGACTGCGTGTGTTTGTGTAAATTTTTTATTTTGGAGACTGCTATTAATGATAATGTTGCTTTCCTTTCAGGTAATGGAAGATCCCTCAACTTAAATTCACCTGATCAGCATGTAGACTGTGCATTATAAAGTAAGTTGTGATAACATGTTATATTAAATTAAACTAATGGTTTTGAAATTGAAGCGGCATAAAATTACCAAGTTGACCCCACTTAATCTAACTTATTTGTTTTTGTAAAAACAATAAGTAGAAAATAATTGCTTATTATTTGTAGGATTTTTTTCTTCTTCTCTATAATCTCAACATCAAATGTGTATAGATACCCATGCTCTTACATTTGTCATGAAAAACTATTTAGATTCTTAGATATATATTTTTCCATCACTTTAGGACCTGGCAAATGGGATGGCAGTGTAAGATATGCAAATCTTTTTCAACAAACAAACAAACAACAAAAAACAAAACGACAACAACAAAAACTTGATAACATGTACATCTCCCAAGTATTTGTTATTTGCAACATTTGGTGTGTTGAAGTGTGCTTTTTGTTTTATAGTTTTATATCTCAACTATTGTATAAATGAAAAGTAATAACTAATTTTATTTAATTGAAGGGAAATTTAACTCTGCCCATTTACATTTTATTCTAGGTTGAACAAGATGGAGGCAAAGCTTCGTGTAATTATTGATGACCAAATCGAGAAGTTGGTTCTTCCATCAGGGATCCCACCAACATTGGAGGAGCTGCAGAGTGTTGTGAAGGATACTTTTGGGATTTCAAATGACTTCAGTCTTCAGTATTTTGACCCAGAATTCCAGGACTACTTCACTCTTCACAGAGCTGACCAGATAAAAGACAAAGACACTGTGAAGGTTGTTGGCATCACCCCAGTCATGCTAAGCTTGACTCCGGTTGATGACAGTTTTGGCGGCCCCTCTGGCCAACTGTCTGACTATGACTCCTCATATGCTGAGTCAGTTGTATCCAATGCAGACTCTGCTGCAACTACTTCTTCTCAGGACACCATTATTCTCAAAAGGCAGAAGACCACAGAACGTTGTGAGCCCTGGCCGAAACAGTTTCCCATTCCACAGTTTGCATATGAAACTGAGATGTACCTGGAAAGAGCCACTGAGGAGTATAAAAAGAATGGAAATCTTCTGCCCACCTCCAAAGTAAAGACTGATATTCTTGAGAAGTTGGCTGAAACTATATTTACATTTACGGCCTATCCTTCAAGTGCACAGGTTAGTTATGTTGCTGAGGCACTTGTGACAAAATACCCTTGTCTCAAGGAACCTGGCTCTTTCTCAGGTTATTATGGTTGGCAACAAAGCATCAAATACAAGATGGCCAATTATCGTACAAAACTTAGAGGGTTTGGTGTTCCTGAGTTGACATGCAATGCCATGAAACACAAGAGTCCAGGTAACCAGAAGTCTGCAAATAAAGTGAAAAAGCCTCGGAAAGCAGAGGTAAATTACCTTCCGCCATATCCAGCAGGTGAAGATGAGGACAGTCAAGAAGAAGAGAGAATTCAGTTGCTTACTGAAGTCAAGAAAAGAGACAACAACAAAGTGATAAAAGAAAAAATGGCTAAAACATTTGCACATAGACGACATGAAATTGTCAACCTGTCCCCCAGCATTGAAGACATCAAAGCCAGATGGCCAGCTTTGTTTGAGGCATCTCATGTGAGTTCCAAATTCATTTTGGGTGGGCTTTTGGGTTTTTTTAATGTAATCTTTCAAACTTCAAATAATTTGAGGCTGCATCATGGTTTTTTTTTGTCGTTCAGCTGCAGGATGAGTTCTACAGGATCACCCTGGTACACCTTGAACCCAAATTCATGTCCATGCTGGATGAGTACACTCCCAAACTGTTGGCCCTTTTACATTCCAAGGGGGGAGCCATGGGATTGAAGTTGCAGGCTATCATAGCCAAGGTATTTTCCACAGACATTTCAGCTTGGAATTTTATTTAAAGAATTTTTTTGTCAAATTTCATTTGCATGGTGCACAGCTCCACTAATTTGTTTGCATGTTTTTGTCAGTGCAAGAGGACGCCAGGACGTCACTGATATAATTAACAACACAATTATGGGTTTCATGTTTTAATTGTATTTTAAATACATGTCTATTCTTAGTAAAAACAAACAAACAAAAAACAAACAAAAAAACACAAGTACAGGTATTGCTGGGTTTTTGTTTTGTCCCAAGAAGGAAAAACCCTTTCTGACGAACATAAACTAAATTAGATAAAAAACTAAAAGAATAAATTAATGTAATTTACTAAAACGACACATTTAAAGATTGAAGCTTACAAGCATGTTGACAATACCTTTGTGTTGACTGTCAGCACCCAGGCATGTGCATTAACATCAGCTAATTATCGCACATAATGTTCCATGTGATGATAATTTGATATTTAACTTTTTTTTTTAATACTGCCAATTCTCACAGTTTTGTCTTAATAAATGGTCACTTATCTGATGGTAATTTTTGGAATTCTTGCTCATTTTCAGTCACCAAGCAATCCTAGCAATGACATAACCAGAAATCTGGTTATTCGGTGCTTGATGGTGTACCTTGGGGAGTCCATTGATCAACTGATCAAAGAGTACAGTGTAAGTGTTGAAGTAGAAACATTATTCTGTTTTTGTTATTCATATGTGTTTGTCAAGTTTCAAATAATTTGAGGCATTATCATGTTCTATTTGTCATTCAGCTACAGGATGTGTCCAGGAAATATTTCATGTGTGCAACTACAGTCAGAAAACCCATGTGTTTGTTGTTTCAGGATGCTGATGAGGATGGTGTGTCACAAGATCTTTCTGAACAGAGGATGAAAATCTACAAAATCAAGGCTGTTGGATCTGAGGAGGATGACATTGGCATTGTGCTGGAGGGTGTGAGAGTTATGCCTGCTCTGGGCAATTTTCCAAGAGCATGCGCAATGCTGGTTGAATTGACATATGCAGTCAATCTTGCCTATCCCAAAGAGCTAAAATACACCTTGGAAGTATTCCAGAAAACTTTCCTTGAACTGGATTGTGCTAAGCTCTCACCAAAAGTGAACAGCCTCAAGAACAAGTTATTGGCTTAAGTGAGGACTCTGAAAGAATGAAAGGGAAATAAGCTCACTGAAAACCTTTGGTTTGTCTTTGTTAGATGCAGCTATCTTTTCAGTTTTCAAAATAATTTCAACTTATTCATGTCTTACCCAAATGACCTGCAATGTGTCAGGCTGTATTTGTGCTCTTCATTTTAATGTTTGTTTTTTATTACCTACAAGTTTCTTAGGAATATTCTGTTTGAAAGGCAACAAATTGGAGGAATCACTAGTGAAGCTTTTCTTTGTTTATAGTGTATGTTACTATAAAACATTAGTTTAAAACAACTTTAAAATTTAACAGAAGTGCAGTCCTGTAGCTGTAGAAATGTTACTTCCTCTTACATGTGTCTTAGATTTTCTCAGGTTAAACATCCAAATTGGGATAAAAGGTTGATTTACATTATTGATATTCCATGTACATGAGTTAAAAAACCTTTGTTCTACAGTTATATTGAGTGATTCAATTTAACAAAAGATTGACTAACTAAAGTTTTTGTTAGTCAATCATAAATAAGTAACAGAGATAAAGGAAACGGTAAAGGATATTCAAATTTCAGGTTCATGTTGATATTTACTAAACATTTGCCAGGTAGTTAGTAAATTCAAAGTAATTTTTCTCAGAGACTTATTTCATATCAATTATTTTTTTTGGTAAAGTTGGGCAATTTCAACCTTCAGTTTGAGATTTTGACCCTAAATCCAACACATATTTACAGTTTAATTCTATTAATATCTACTTTTGTTTTCTATTTGAATTTAATTAACATTTTCTCTACATTTTACATAAATCTTTTGAAATTAAAATCTACTTAATTATTTCAAGTGTCACTTTGTTGCCATAACTTTTTTAAGTAACCTCTAGTCACAGTTTTTACAGTGTAGTAAAACCAAAAATTAAATTGATAAATAAAATATCCTTCAATTACCAAAAAGCTTTCAGTTTTATAATTATAGGATAATCTGGATTTTATTCATTTATATTTACATTTATTTCTCACAGTTTAATTCAAAAAAGGCAACAGATCTATTTCTCTCCTACATCTAATTTTTCTTTGAAAATTACTTTTCTACCCCAAAGTGAAGGCCAGGGTGTCGAAGTCTCTGTGTGTGAGCTGCAGTAATAGCAGAAATTCAGTTTGAAATTACTCACTCACTCAAGTACCTACAGTTACATAGGACACAGGACGGTAAAGTTTAAATAAAGAGCAACCTGCTACTTGAATATTTTACACAAGCACAAATAAACGACTTCATATTCATTTAATGCTTAATGATAGTGAAACTGCTGCCATTCAGATGCTTTACTGTTGGTGTTGCATGGTGGATCAAAATCTGACTTTTTCTAATTTTGTGATTTTTCTGATTTTCTGTGTTCGTAATTCCTTTCTTAAAAAGTAAAATTATTTTTAATGCACCAAGATAATACTCTATTACAAGTAAGAGTCTAGCATTCACCCTCCTTAACTATAAGTATACAAGCATAATCAGCATAGTTTCAAAAAGTAGTCATTACTGACTACCTCCAGGGCAAATGTCACCTTCATCTCAAACAGCTACCTCTCTGCAAACATCAGTGTCTTCCTGCGGATGCAGGAGCTGCTCAGAAGGTACGGGGCTGTTATTGTAGCAAAAAGATTTGTGTGTATCTCGATACCTGTGTGCGTATTTCTGTGTGACTACATGAGCTCACAAAAAAGGGAAAACAATCATTTTTTAAAAGACCTCCAGTGGCATTCAGTCAATCCACAGGCTTTCACCAATCACAGTTCAGTGTACTAAAATTTGTCCTGGATGTGTTCCAACATCTCAGATATGCTGACTTATGAATGAGGGTTGAGTGTATTTTCATACCTTTATAAAAATGACAAGCAACAAGGAAATTGGGACTGACGTGCAAGGCAGTCAGACTGGCTAAGCTGCAGCTCACCTGTGAGACACTAATGAGTGGAAAACCCAGTAATCTGGAAAGATGATGCCAGCTTCCTCCTGATCAATGTTAGGGAGAATAAATGTTCCACATGCAGTGTTGGTCAAGTTAAGTGAAAAAAGTAATCAGTAACTAATTACTGATGCAGGTGCAGGTGTGCCGCAGCGGTCAGTGGAAGAATCCGCAAGTTTCTCTGTGAATTTCCCATTCCGTGGCAGCGTACTCGGTGCTTGTGTTTAGGGGTTTTTTTCGCTGTAAAAAGAAGTTTTGTTCCCACGCAGTGAGTGAACAGCGGACGCTAATGTTTTTGTCACTGGAACCTATGGTTTAAGAAAGATGCATTTCCCTTAAATTATATTAAATTATTTTAATATTAGATTTGTAAAGCCTAAAGTTGTATGGCTCAAAACTGTTACAAAACTATAGCAGCAGATAAACAGCACACATAAGCTGTAGAAACAAAGAAAAGGAACGCCAGGTGATCCGTTTGTAAGGAATTCAGTCCCACAGTGCATGAATCTACAGGAATATCAGCATTATCTCCACTGAGGTAACATTACAGTATTTATTCTACACAAGTATTGAAAGAATGAAAAACAGGCTTCAGGCTGCTGCGTCCACGTTCTCAGGAGCAAGCGTTCCAATATCTGTCAGGACTGGACACCAGAAAAAGAAGACTCAATATCCATGAAAGGCTGGATATTTAATTTGGGTTAAAATATCTTCAGGATGAAAAGGAAATGAAAATACAGACATGTTTATGTAACCCAGATGGAGACAGCGGAAACACACATCTTGCTTTACTCAAACACAACTACATAAAGTTTCCTGGCAAAACTCAATGACTGGTTGTTGCTCTCTGGAATTGTTGCATGCACAGCGGTTTGTCTCTTTGTCAGCATTAAACCATACCTCAGCCTTCAAACAAGGGAAAGTGGTAGAGTAAAGATCCAAAGACATTTTCAGTCACATTGCTGCACAGATCCTGATCAATTCAGTTCAGTTTTATGTATAACAGTCACCTTAAGCCACTTTATATTCTAAGGCAACGATCCTACAATAGTAGAGACATAACAGAAGGCACACTGTGAAGGAGAGCAAGAGATTAATAACTAATAATTAAAGGCAAAGTGGTATACCGATGTGATGAAGAAGATACACTCAGTGGATCATGGGAAGCCTCCAGCAGCCTAGGCCTATTGCAGCATAACTAAGGGTGGGTTCAGGGTCACCTGATCAGCCCTAACCATATGCTTTAGCAAAAAGGAAAGTTTTAAGCTGAAGGGTTCAAATCCCGCCATCACCTTCCTGGTCAAAAACTGATCTGATCTACGGGGATGTTGTTTCCATACGGATGTTCCAGACGCTTTTATAATGTGAGAAAAACAGATAGTGAATAGTGAATCTAACACGTCAGCCTTTTACAAATATCTGTTCCCCGTTCTCAGCATCAACATAGTAAACCAGGCATGGGACTGGTTAAGCAATAATTCAATTAGCTCAGGATAAAAATGGATTCAGAAGCCTGCGCTTGTGAGTTTGAGGTACAGCGTGTTCTTTTGTTTTTAGTTTTTTATTATAATTGAGTAATAATTTAAAAGAATCCTTGAACACAAATTTGCTCTTGCTATCAAGTCTAACAAGGACATCTAAGAAATTTTGGAGAAGTACCTTTAACAGTGTAACATCTGCAACATTGTTTCAACTTTTATTTTAGAACAATTTTTCACTGTGACTATATATCAACAAAACGCAGACACCTGATGGTTATTCACCATCAAAACATTTGCTGGGCAGTTTCTCATAATGTCATCATCTGTTTTATAAGGTGTTGATTTAATGTACATTGATTTCGACATTTCCAGGCTCAAGTGTTTCTGCTGTCACTATCTTAGCTGCAAAACACAAAAAATGGATGGGTCTGACTGTGCATACTGGGCCTACAGAGAGGAGGTTCAGGATCTGAAGAGATTGTGTGACAACAACAACCTACATCTGAACACAACCAAGACCAAGGAGATGGTAATCGACTTCAGGAGAACAAAGTGATCTGAGTACTCCACCCTCTACATTGATGGAAAGGAGGTAGAAAGAGTAGAAAGCTTTAAGTTCCTCAGGGTCCACATCTTGGCCAACCTTACCTGGTCCACAAACATTTCCCACCAGGTAGAAAAAGAACAACCAAGGATGTACTTTCTTAGGAAGCCCAAATACCCTAAAGACTGCTAATTAACTTCTACCGCTCCGCTTATCTTATAGTGACTAACGAGTTGACAGAAAACACATTGGGTAATGAGAGTGCAGTTTCATACTCCAGATAGTACGACTAGCAGACTTCATTATTTTCATTGAATTTAACCCTAAATAAATGAAAGGAAAAAAACCAAACAAAAAAAATCAGCAGGTAGACATTTACAGATGTCAAGACAGTAAGCTGTTTTCCTATTTTCTATAGGACAGTATGTCTGTGAAGGTTCTCAGTCATCCAGGTCATCGTAGTCCAAGGAGCTTGCAAAGAAAAGCGTCTGGACTTCTTTAAGTTGCTTGAAGACGTTTCACCTCTCATCCGAGAAGCTTCTTCAGTTCTAAGGTCAAATGGTGGTGAGTCCCAGATTTAAACCCAGTGGGAGTATCCCCCCAAAGAGGGACAAAAGGACCCCTGATGATCCTCTAATCACCTGAGCCAAGGTGTGAAAATGGGTGTGGGTCCCAATCAACCAGGGTTTCGGGTGAGCTCATTATGAAGCCTGGCCCCACCTTATCATGCGATTTCCTGAGGTCAGATGGCCCAGGATGTGAGTGGGCGTTTGAGTTCCCTCCCGAGACGCCTTAACGCCCACTCACATCGTGGGGGAGCACCTGCTTCAAGTTTGAGACAAGTTACTACCTTAAGTGGAGAGGTTTAAGCATCTCTTGTTCACGAGTGATGGGAGAGTGGAGTGCGAGACTGACAGACGGACTGAGGTGGAAGCTGTACTGATCTGTTGTGGTAAAAAGGGAGCTGGTCAGGTCCTGCCCTCACCTATGGTGAAAGGTGTGGGTAGTGACGGAAAAAAATGATGCTGCGGATACAAGCAGTGGAAATTAGTTTCCTTTGAAGAGTGGCTAGACTTTCTCTCAGAGGGAGTTTGAGTAGAGTTTCAGGTTTCAGGCATCTGATGCCTCATGGTAGCCTCTTGGCAAACCACAACAAAATATGAATGGCACCACAGAGTCAAACATGGTGCCACATGAACTGAAGACCCAAAAAAACCCCCAAAACAGATTTGTCCTTCCTTTGGAGAGCTGCAGATTTGGGGGTTCAGTCTATATAGCGGAATAATTTTTGTGTTGACTGACTGATCAACAATTTGGACTTCACCTTTTCATACCTCGTATTTGTTACTATTCCCTTTTTTTATTCACGTTTAGTAACATTTTCATTTTTTTGTCACATTTAATGCACTCTTGGAAAGCAAAAACACAAAGTCACCCAGCCCCACCCCCAGCCTTCAGTAGTTTTCCAATTCTGCTGTCTTTCCTCAACAACTGCAAGCTGAAAGGTAAGCATTCCTGAATCACAGCTTCCACAGCACAGGGGGCTCTTGGCACACAAGCATCTCGCTAATGAAAATATGTATTTACAAAGACAGCAGCAGCTGTGCATGCCAGCTCAAGTAGACAGTGTAGCAGTGCCAAGCTAAATGCAAACTGCAGTGCAAAACGAGTTCGTTTGTGTTGCTCTCAGTTCAAGCCCTTTACAGTTAAGAGTCATAGTGATTTACAGCAGTGGTCAGGAATTTACAGAATACCGAGGTCAATGTTATCTTCCAACAGCTGTGGTTCCAAGATTTTTAATCTTATGACCCTTTAGTACTGTCTACCAAATGTCTACTGAAAACCATTTGTCATTCTGTGCATGTGACCTTTAATTAATGATTTTCAGATTATTTTAATAGATATTTTGTTATGCCCAGAAAAGTGTTGACTTTAATTCAAAAGCCAAAGACAGTCTATGTTCTACACCTCACATTTTTTTAACAGTAACAAAAAAAATAAAATAAAATGGGTCAGTTGAATTTTGTGAAAAAAATGGTTGACACAATGACTTCAGCAAACTTTTGTCATTCAAACCTAACATTAGGTTCACAGTTTACAAAAGAACTGGTTAAGAAAAACATACCCAAAAACAAACTGATAGAAGCAATATAAAACCACCCCATAAATTTCAATTTTCAAAACACTATACAGGAGTATTTGGAGCCACACATTTCCAGACAGCAGTCTTTTAATATTTAAGGTAAGGAATCAATGAGACACAAGTCTCACACTGTTAAAGTAATTTACAAAGAGTGTAAAACAAGGCAAGCAAAGCAAAAGAATAATATCCACCATCACATTGTTCATAACCAAATTGCACAACGTTCATTATAGCTATGGATGCATGGGCATCCAACCAATGAACAGCAATAAATCTAATCACATCAAATCTAGGCTTAAAGATAAGATAATGTCCAAAACAAAGTCAGGGTTCAAAAACATTTTTTAAAGAAAAAAATAACCATCAGGTTTGGGAAACTGCAGGTATGTGCCAAGTAGGGATGGGTATCGTTTAGGTTTTATCCGATACCGGTGCCAAATCGGTACTTTTGAAACGGTGCCGGTGCTTAAACGGTGCTCGAACCGGTGCTTAAAGAATGGAGAACACAAACTTTGTCCAAAAACCTCTCATGTTCAGCTGGGGTTTTTTGTAAAAAGATAACAATGTGTGCCTTTTCTGCAGCTATGGGGCATATATGGCATCACTCTTGGCTGGAAGCAGTGCTTAAACAATGGAAAAAACACAAACTTTGTCCAAAAACCTCTCATGTTTAACTGTTTCCCACTTTTTCTTTGGTCATTTTAGCCTTTTTGGCCAGGGTGAAGCGAGTATCTGCCATCAAACAAGAAGACAGCCGCATGTAGCTATGATGATGTTTGCTAGTTCACCTTACATGCATTAATGTAATAACGTGGTTAGCCTACTCAACGTAAATTACACACGAACAACTTGAAGCTACTCATGCAGAGAAGAACGGCTGCTGCTGCATCATCATCCTCATCAT